AGATGCCTCGTTTTAATCAGAAATTTATGGACTACAATTACGCCTCATTAAGAAAGCTTTTGGTTGTTGTTTAGAGTTTCTCGAAAATTGGTTTTCCAGAAGACCGGTCTCTGAAGGCCTAGCAGCAGCATTCATGGTGATATTCGGAATCAGCATCGTCGACTACCTATAGTCCACTCGGTTTCGTTGAAAAAGCGATTTATCAGTTGGGGTACTTCCCCCGTTAGTTTCTTATTTCTGTAGCTTTGAGATGACAATAAACATTTAGGGCTTCTCTTGTAAATTGTATAACTTTGCAAAGAAAGGTCGTGTAGGGCTGGGAGATATCTCATTTTAATCAGAAATTTGCGGTCTATAATCATACCTCATTAAGAAAGGTTTGGGTTATTTTTTAGAGTTTCTGAACATCTGGTTTTCCAGAAATTCGGTCTCTGGAGACCTAGTAGCACAAATTCTAGCAACGAACTCCACTGCAGTAGCAGAGTTATGTGACCAAGCCGCATAGTGACTTACAGTATAATCCAATTGAAATAGTTTTCAAACAATGATATATCATAATTCATAAATACATCGTTTTTATAAGCAGAACAAGAAAGTCGCACATATCTCACTTTGAGGCACAAGATCGTATACTGGTGTTCGTAATAATTCTGATCAAAACTAATATGTGCTTTTTAAAAGCAAAACTAAAGCTAAGGAAGAGCGACTACTGTGGAACAAATTATATTTGTCTTTTTTCAACCGAGATGGTAGCATACTTAGCACTGTAAGCTTAATAAAAGAAAATTGCATGTTTAATACACCGACTAGAAGTCACCGTCGTACAAAATCCAGAACCATAAAAAAAATAAAAGACACAATGATTAATAAAAACACACATAAAACTAAAATAAAACTCGTACTGCAACTGAGTTACTGCCCATGTGTATGCAATAAATGATATTTTTCAAATGAAATTCAGATCATTCACCATCCTCTGAAACCATCCGGATACATCTGAAATAATGTTTGACGAACAGTTAATTCTCCGCATGAACCATTGACTATTTTCGATAAGGCTTCCGCATATTCAAATGGTATGAATGTACCACCTCAATACAAGAAGAAAGAAAAGTATATTTGTCATAGAATGAAATTTGAATGCTCCTACCTGTTATTTTTGCTAAATCACAATAAAAACTTTCATAGAGCATGGCTTCACGATCAACACCAACAACTATTAATGTTATTCCCTTTTCATCAAACCTTTGAGCTACATGTCGTAGAGATGGACAATCGCGATCGCAGTCAGATTTAAGAGGAGGTGCATCTGTCATCAATATGCATAAATTTTCATTCCACATTTCAAAATGATTTTGCTAGATATAGACAAACAAAATATACTACGTTTAGTGGCAGACCGAATTCTGTCAAGAATCTGAAGAGGAGCTCCGTCACTGCACCGACCATACTGTCCGAAAGAATATTTTATTTTATTTTTATTTATGTCTCATTCAAAAGGGCATACAAAATAACCTCTAATTCTGTAATAACTCTTTCTGGAAGTGCTTTTTTAAGAAACTAGAGGTCGAACACTACTGAAGGTTACTCTTGTTACCGAAAAACGTGAATCTTCACAGACTTTCCGATTTTCTGAAAAACTATCAAACTCCTATGATTCGTTCATGGTTCATTTGAAAGAGGAATGTTTACTCTGTATGATTATGTATTTAGACATAATAATATATTTAACTATCTAGCACTAAATAATAGAAAACTAAAAAGTTGCATATTTTTAAAATTGCATTTTTCTCAGTACTTTTTAAATATAGGCCATACATATGGCGATCCCAAAATAAATCTTACTTCATTTTTTTTAGAGCAGGTAATTCTGTATCCATTTATATGTAATAGAATTTTTAACATGCCTATCTCCAATATTTGATTTAAAAGTGCATCATCCTAGTGTTTTAAAATGTTCTATTACATATGAATGAAGGCAGAATTGCCTGCTCTAAAAAAATGAAGTAAGATTTATTTTGGGATCGCCATTTGTGTGACCTATATTTAAAAAGTACTGAGAAAAATGTAATTTTAAAAATATGCAACTTTTTAGTTTTCTATAGTGGTTAGACCCAGAATCGTATCTTGATCAAGATCTGAATCAAGATTAGTTGATGTATCTGAACTTGATGTTCTGGAAAATTCTTCATAAAGATCTTGATCAAGAATTTTTAAGAAGCAGAATCTTCAGAGAACTTGTGCAGTTTTTCGCTTTCTGCATGACGTGGGGACGAGACACTTTAGCAGAAAAACTGGTTTTTCGCACTCATTTTGAGAGACAGAGGTCTGCTTTTTTTACCACAAGTAGAGTATCTATGGTACACAAAATCTTTGATTCTGGAGGGTTTGGCAAGAAGTTAAGAAAGAAAAGAGAAAGTTCAGTATTTGTGTCGCCACTGACCAGCGTCCACATAAGATATCACACAAAATGACTCTTCTTTTGAAAATAACTCGGGAATGCCTTGACCAGAAGAGGTCTTTTAGCAGCCGAATTAGAAGAAAGTGTAAGGCAAAACATTTATCGAAAACGGCTGCACGGTACACGAGATACAAGTTTAGCCATGACTTGTCCCCAAACTGTACAAACTGCTGGTAATCCTTCCATATCTGAGATGAATCATGTGAAAAAACGAACTATTTTTCAAGGTCAGTGTCATGTTCTCTTTTAGGCTTCGCTCAAAGTCTAGTTTGTTTAACATCATATTTAACATCATTTATCTGTAAAGCTTCAAGTAAATAAAATAATATACATACATCCGTGTTATTAACTCTCCAGCCCAAATCTAATACTCTGTGTAACGTTTTGGCTAAAAGTAGACAAATGTACATAAAAATATCATACCAGGATCAATTACTGTCATGATTCACTTACCGATTTCTTCTGGTGATTTAACCTCTGTTAAAGCTTCATATTGACGAAGATAATTTTGAAATGGAGCAAGCAATGGTGTAAAATTATATGCACGTATTACAAATTCATTTTGTTCGACTTGGTCTGCCAGTATGAGTGCCAAACGAAGATGAGTTACACTTAGATTGTTGAGCATACTTTCTATTTGCAAACGAACGTCATTTAAAGACCTTTTGGTTATGACCAAACATACGACAATATCAAAGTAACATTGTTGTGCCATTGATGACGGATTATTAAATGTATCGAGCTCTAGTTTCACGATATAATAGTTTACTGTTTTGGACATATAGTACAATATATTTTTTATTAAAACAAACACGCTAAACAAATAAAATACAATATAAAATGGTATACGAGTAACATACCTTCCAAATCATCGATGCTAAAACTATCCAACAGACAGTACTTTTCTTCGATACATACAGCTGATTATGTGCTTCAATGTCTTTTTCTGTACCTCTCATGTTCACAGAATAAAAAGAATAAAAAAAAAAACAAAGTGGTATTTTATGCGTATAGGAAGAGAAACAATATATTGATATTTAGTACATCGTGGAATGGGAAATAGAAAATAAATAAGAAGTACAAAATTGCAACGATTTGCAAGTCCAAAGATGTTCATATCACCGATAAAAAAAAAATTAAAGTTTCTTTAGGGTTAAAGAAAAGTGCTTTTTCGTATTCAGCACACTTGATAACTTGGAAAATTTTCTATTCTTAGCGAGGGGTACCGTCAAAAAGTTAAGAAAAATTTTCAAACAAATTGACGTAGAAAAATCCCCATGGTAAGATTAAGCAATTTTAAAAATTTTTCTTAACTTTTTGGCGATACCCCTCGCTAAGAATAGAAAATTTTCCAGATTATCAAGTATGCTGAATATGACAAAGCACTTTGCTTTAACTCTAAATGAACTTTAGTTTTTTGTCGGTGGTATGATTTTATTTAGTTCGTTCTGTTTCTTCTTATAGTGTACACGGCTTTTCTTTTTGTCATTCGCCTTGAAAATGACCGAAGAATAAACAGGTTAACTGGTAAATCAGCTAACTGGTACCAACTAACTGGTAGTAACTTCACTAAAAAATGCATTTCGTTGGAGTTTTGTACTTCTTACTTGAATTCAGTATGTTAATAGTGTCCCACACTTCTGGTAATGAATATATATGAATGTAAACGTACATAATAAAAAGGAACGCTCTATTCTTCTTATTAAAAGATATATAAAATTGATTGACCCTAGCTAGAGTGGAAATATGCATTAAATTTATTTTTGTCTTCTAAATATAGATTTTTTTTTCTTTTCTTTCTAGTGTATAAATAGAGAGAAGAATAGATGATGATTTTATTGCTAATAAGATGACCGGGTCTATTGCCGCCTGCTTTTTCGACAAAGTAAAAAGTATATAAAAGCATAAATAAATAAACAAGAAATATATTAGAATATAACTATTTTATTATAACAATTTTAATCGGTTTTAAACGTAAACGCGAAACATTTGTTTCATATTTACTGTCATGAGAATAAGGTAGAGAACAGGGTAGAACAAGATTTTTAAAAAGATCATTTAACAAAACCTGTAAAAAGCAAACGAACGAGATAAAGGAGGAGGGTTAACTTGATCAGAAAACGGCCCCTTGTTTTTCTTCCTCATTTTGACTTGACTTTTGTAGAAAAGATATTTGTACAGATTTTCCAGTTGTTCGTATCTAGTGTTTTCATTCTCTCCTGTTTCAACTAGTATATATAATCACCTCTCTCCTAAATTCGGCAGTCATATTAGCCTGCTGATGATACTGTGAAGTGTCGAAAGCTCGCTTTTTATGTAAAATGATTTTACAAAAGTGTTTTCAATTATATTAAATATAATTAGTTTTATAGGAAACGTAAAAAGTCAAAGAATGTCAAGATATGTAGACATTATCTTTACGAATAGGCAAAAATTCGAATAAACATAATAAAGTAACAGCAATAATTTCCATTTTATTAAAAATTCTTTATCTTCTAACGTTATCTTGGACGAGCAAAATAAGATAAAAATGAGAAAATCGAATGATTGTTGTAAAATGTTTCTCTGCATGTATAACTAGCAAATCTAACCAGCTAGTGACACGTTTCTGTATTTATTCTTGAAAATGAACTTTTAAACCTCGAAAAGTTGAAATATTTGGTTTTAATTTAATTTTTACAAAACTTTTATTATTGGATTATTTCAATACGAATACAGCACAAATGTTTAATAAATTCTAATTTTTAATATACTTTTATTCGTTATATATACTTTATTATTTTATGTTACTTTTTTTCTTTTTTATCCATTTTTTTTATCCATGTATTTTATTGATACATGATATAACATACGACGAAGAAAAGAAACGAATTTCAATTCCGCAAAGAACCTAGACGAATGAAATAAAATAATATAGACATAATCGACTGGAAATATGAAAACAAAAAAGTGTAATAAAGAATCTCTAACCTAGAAAATCTCATCAAAGAATCAGTTGTATCTTTTTCTGCTTTGTTTTCTTAGCGAATAAAATTAATTCTCTAATCTATTTTCATTAGTGGTTCTGGCTCTAACCCACGCAAACTTTTCAGCAGCTGTAGTTTCAGATCTTCCTGAGGTAGATACCTTACTAGTAGTAGCAACAGCTGTATAAGGTGGATCTTCCCCCTCGTAAAATCTTTGACCACTGCCCGATTTAACCCATTTTCGTATAGTAGATTTTAATTTAATTATAAGATTTTTCAATAAAATAAAAATTACTGCAGTTACTTTATTATGTTTATTAATGTCATTATAGTTGTTCTTATGGAAAATAAGCTCAAAATACATTTTTAACGTTGATAATTTTGAGATTCTATCAGAGGACGTCGTTGTTAGAAAAAATAATATTTTTGAAAAATTCAGCATAGGTTTCATACAAACCTTGATATGAAAAAAATAGTCAGTCAAAAACTGAGTAAAATACTCTATAAACAATCCTTATACATCATTTCAATAGGAAGAAATTATTTTTACAAGAGACAAATTGCACTTAAAAGACGATGTCAGCGATGTTTTAAGTACTTTTTTCTCCATATGCAAACAGGGATCCAGCCTGTATTTGATATAGAAAAATAGTCAATGAAAAACTGAATAAAATGGTATATGAACCATAGTTACATACCATATTACTAAGGAGAAATGGTTTATTTTCAAGCATCCCCTATCTAGTGACCATGCTTGAGTGATCATATGTCCCATTTTCTCCCATAAGCAACAATCTCTCCCAACAATTTCTCCCATGGCTCAATCCATTACAATTCAGATACTAGAAAAATCAAGAAAATGCACTCATATTTTGCAATTTTCACCATTAAATGTTAATTTTGTCTCAAAACCAGCATCGTATTTGGAATCACCATTAAAAACTGTTTCGGAATTTGTAGACAAGTTTGATTTTTCAGCATAAATCACGGTCGAAAAAATTCGAAAATAATTAAGGTTGTCTACATATTCTGAAACAAAGATTGTCCAATGCAGTTTTTAACGGTGATTCCAAATACGATGCTAGTTTTGAGACAAAATTACCATTTAATGGTGAAAACTGCAAAATATGGGTGCATTTTCTTGATTTTTCTGGAGTATGAATTATAATGGATTGAGCCAATGGTATATAGAGTTTGTTTACCCAAAATATTGTAGAGCTTTTCGAGAGCTATTTTTATGCTATACTAAGGAGAAATGGTTTATTTTCAAGCATCCCCTATCTAGTGACCATGCTTGAGTGATCATATGTCCCATTTTCTCCCATAAGCAACAGAGGATCTAACTAGTCGTTAGTATAGAAAAATAGCTCTTGAAAAGCTCTACAATATTTTGGGTAAACAAACTCTATATACCATTGGCTCAATCCATTACAATTCAGATACTAGAAAAATCAAGAAAATGCACTCATATTTTGCAATTTTCACCATTAAATGTTAATTTTGTCTCAAAACCAGCATCGTATTTGGAATCACCAT